TGGGCATAGAGCATCCTCTGTGCTCCCAGTCAGCTGTGCTGCCACTGCTGCATGACCCAGCAAGGGCTGAGCTTCCACATGCTGTGTTCTGGGAGGGAACAGAGCCCAAGCAGCCTCTGACAGTAAAGAGGCAGAGGCTGTGGGGGGTGTTGGTGGCAGGGCAGGAAGGCTGCAGGGGAAGCAGAGGGTTCAAGAGCCATCTAACCCCCCCCCCCCCCCAGCCACTGCCGTCCCTGCTGTAGCGGGGAGGTGGTCTTAAATTCAGGGTTGACTTAGATTCAAGTAAAAGCAGTGATCATTTTTTAAACCCCGAAAAACCTTAGTGATATTAAAATTACCTTTGCTCTACCTCGATAAACATAGTATTATATTTTTCTTCATGTTATCAGTTTCCATATTTTCACAGGACAGAATTACTCCTTGATGTTCTAGCTGATTTTATGCAATGTTTAAGTAGCCACAGTAAATCAAGACATGAACTTCCAGATTCCCAGCTACCACTTGTACAATAATTTCAGCATGTTGCTTTCTACTGAAAGGTTTAGTTCCTCCAGCTTCTTTCCCATAAACTGTGGAAAAAGGGCAGTGTTTTTCTATTGGCATTTAGAAGTGCCGGAAATCTCATACTTTATCTAATTGTCTATTATTAGATCTATAATATCATGTGATATTAACCAATGTTATACACCACAACAGCCTAGATGTAATATTGGTTAATATCACATGATTACAAGGAAGTTTTAAGAAACTTCGCAGCTGATATATAGGATAACCTGTTTAGAAATAAACTTTTCCCATAACATTTTAATAGTTGGTATATGACTTAGCTGTTAAATATGAATGCTTCAAAGAGAATAAATAACTTCTCTAATTATTCTAAATATAAAGTAACGAATTGCTGTCCTGGTAAGTATGCAATATTTTTATAAATCAGTGTTATAGCTAGATTGTTGGGAGAATAAAATAATATTATGGGGGGAAAGTGAGTGCTGCAATAAGTTGGTGAAATACTTCTGTACATGGTGGTATGTTTTTAGTCCAGAGGGCTTTACAAAAAAGATCTATAAACATGCATCACTGAAATGCAGCTACATATGCAGCAAGCCATGTCTAAAATGTAAACGCACAGCAAGCAAACAGGGGTAGCAAACAAGATAAGCAGCTTGCAAACACTTTGCAGGTAAGTTTCCCTCCCCCTCTTTGAAGGGAAGCCTTTAAGCTTGGTGAGAGGAAGTAGGGAAAAAGGAACCTTTCAGGACCAAGGAGCAGTAAAAAGACCAGCTTATAGGCTAGTTTGCTAGGGAAAGTCTACTTGGTAGAAGGGCAGCAAGACAGGCAGCTGAGGGATGTGTAGGGGATGGGTTGGACAGGGGTGCTCCTGCCTCCCACCTGGGTTGCACTAGATGCCCTGCAGAGGCTCCTTCTCTGGGCCCCCTGGGAGAAGGGAGGAAAGTGGCACTATGTATTTCCTGAGCTGGGGCAGGTAGAGAGGCCGTACATTGGACCAGTTCTTCCTCTGAGACGCAGAGAAATGGCTGAAGGATGTTGCAATGCCAGAGCCACCGAC